AGACCCGGACCTGCTTAGCATCAGCAAAGTGTTGGGCTGATGTTTTCCTCTTACCATACCATGATCTTGCAAGAGTCCACCTCAGTAGAGAATCACAAGTGGTTCAATTGGACCCCTGCCTTACAGTTATTAAAATTGAGTTGAAATACTTTATTGTCACTTGTACGACTTGTATACAGTGAAATTACACGAGCACCCCACACTCAGCTCTTAGTCTTAATTCCCCTCGTTTACTGTCGCGCAACCATCAAACACGAAAGTCAGTTGCCCTGTTGTTATCTTTTCATTCAGCAGCCTAACAGCCCACGGATAGAAGCTTTTCTTTACCCTATTGGTGCGACTAATCATGCTTCTATATCTTCTGCCTGAGGGCAGGAGATCAAGAAAGTGCCGGCCAGGGTGTAAATCATCCCTGAAAATTTTCCTCACTCTCCTGAGGAAACGTTCTGCCACGATATCATCCAGTGGATTCACAGCACAGCCCATAATATCTTGTGCTGTATTCACCACCCTCTGTAGGCACTTCCTATCAGTTGATGTCAAGCCAGCGTACCACACCATGATGCAGTATGAAAGGACACTTTCTATTGTGGACCGGTAGAAGGAGATCATCAAATGTTGATTGGCATTGTTCTTTCGCAATTCTCTGAAAGTTCTTGAGTATCTTTTGGGTTTTTGCGGAAAACAGCCATAGAAAACTGTTTGCCAGCCTGGCCCAATATACTGCTAGTACATTTCCAGACTCTTCCCCATCAACAGCTATTAGCTGGAAGTGTCCAGGATTGAACCTGCAACCTTCTGCATCCAAAGCACTGAGCCACAAACCCTTTAACTTCAGGCTAACCTCTAGTGGCTAGGGGGAATGTTAAGTGCCCAGAGAAAAGGAGACACGCTGCCAAAATAGGAAGACCATACATTAATTTTTATGGATGCATGTCATAAAGGTAAAGGGTAAAGGGACCCCTGACCATTAGGTCCAGTCGTTGCTGACTCTGGGGTTGTGGTGCTCAGCTTGCTTATTGGCCGAGGGAGCCGACGTACAGCTTCCGGGTCATGTGGCCAGCATGACTTCTGGCGAACCAGAGCAGCACATGGAAATGCCGTTTACCTTCCCGCCAGAGTGGTACCTATTTATCTACGTGCACTTTGACTTGCTTTTGAACTGCTAGGTTGGCAGGAGCAGGGACCGAGCAACGGGAGCTCACCCTGTAGCGGGGATTCAAACCGCCGACCTTCTGATAGGCAAGCCACCCGTGTCCCGGATGCATGTCATACCCCCCAACAATTCTCCGATGAAAATTGGGACATCCAGTGCTCTTTTTCTAGAAAAAGGTGCCTGAACTCACCATGAACACCTCCCTCATTCTCTTAGAATGGCAATGGTGCCCACCTGAGAGGTGAAAAAAGGCCCCTGAAACACCCTGTTCCATACCCTCCAACATTTCTCTGATGAAAATAGGGACATCCTAAGGCAAAATGGGACATTCCAGGATCAAATCAGATGGCTTCTGTAAATCCGGGACTGTCCATGGAAAATAGGGACACTCGGAGGGTCTGGCATGCCAGTTTAGAATTATTGTAGTCTAAATAGAAATACGCGGGACACGGGTGGCGCTGTGGGTAAAAGCCTCAGCGCCTAGGGCTTGCCGATCGAAAGGTTGACGGTTTGAATCCCCGCAGCGGGGTGCGCTCCCATTGCTCGGTCCCAGCGCCTGCCAGCCTAGCAGTTCGAAAGCACCCCCGGGTGCAAGTAGATAAATAGGGACCGCTTACTGGCGGGAAGGTAAACGGTGTTTCCGTGTGCTGCGCTGGCTCGCCAGATGCAGCTTGTCACGCTGGCCACGTGACCCGGAAGTGTCTCCGGACAGCGCTGGCCCTCGGCCTCTTGAGTGAGATGGGCGCACAACCCTAGAGTCTGTCAAGACTGGCCCGTACAGGCAGGGATACCTTTACCTTTACCTTAAATAGAAATACAATACATCTTGCCATGGGGAGGGGGGACAAGGTCCGTGTGCCTGCTCAGTCTGCTCTCCAGGTGCTGCCAAGTTTTGATGGGCATCTTAGAGACTTCTCCAGCTCTTCCTTCAGATTGCTGTTTTATCTTTGAACCAAACTTGGACTCTTCCAAGAGAGGATCATCCTCTGTAAAATAGGACACATGGTATCCCTCAACGCCCCCGGGATGGCATGCTCATGTTTGCAAAGCTTTGTTTCTTCATTTCAATCTATTTAGTGCTTTTATAAGTTCTTGAACGTGCCGCCATCTGGACCGAGCATTCGAGAAGGCGTGGGTTTGCATTTCCAAACAGGGCTGTGGTGAATTAGAAACAAGAGTGAACTCTTAAGATGCAAAGCCAGTGGTCCTGTGGAGAACTAATGTCGAGCCGAAGGGTGGGCAATACCTTCTTTTGAAGTCATCTGTCAGATTGGTAACGGCTCCCCAGGAGAACGCTGTTCCTCAATGATTTGTGTGACCTTGCGAGGTCCAGCTAGGTGGCAACCAAGCGTGTACGCACGCCCACGAGCATCTTTGGAGGAAACCGAATAAAAATATTGAAAGTATTGACTCCCCCTGAAGGGAGTAGGCAGCACTTTGGTCTTTGACCTTTGAAGCAGCCTAGGGTAGTCAATAAAATCCGGCTGTTAGATGCTTGGGCCTGCCACTGATTTTGAGCTGGGAGTAGTTTAACCTTGAACCAAGAGCCAAGTAACCACGGCAACAGGAAGTAGGCCCCTACATCCAAGGAGAAGGGATCCATAAATCACGGGGTCCCTAATGCAAACACTGTGTGCAGGTAGAGATTTTGAGAGGATAAGTGGTTTGTGAAGGATTACCTTTGAAAAATGGATGACTGCCTCTTGATAGGGTGAAGCACAGTTTCACAGAGACGTGGGTTAGGGGCGGGGGGAACTGGGGGTTGGGTTGGGGTTTTTTGTTTTTTTTTAGCAATGGAGGTCAAGAGGTTACAGCTGCTAGTTTTCATAGAGCTTTTTATACAGGATCTTCAGCTTAATTATCAACAGATGTTAAATCCAGGAGGTGGTTAGCATTGTATTCTAAATATATAAGCGCTCTCTCTCTCTTCTCTCTCTCTCTCTCTCACACACACACACACACACACACACAAATTGTTTCCATCTTCAAAATATTGGCATGGCTGCTAATTTGCTGCACATTTCTACTGTGTCTGACACCATCTCATGTGGTTTGTGCATTCTGCTTTGTTATCTGAAATATGTGCAGGGGAGCTGCTCGTCTCGAATCACCTCAGGCTTTCGCAGTGCAAAACCATGCTTCACCGTTTTATAATCTGTACATTTGCAATAAGGAAATCACAGGTTTTCCTTCCGACACAGGTAGCAGTGTGGGATATTAGGGATGGATTAATCTGTCAATTTTGGTTTATCTCAGTTTCCCGCATATCTGCAGCAATATGCAAAACAAACAAACAAAAAACTCCTTTTTTAGAATTCCTCATGAAAACCCATCATGGTTTGAGTACGAATTTCCCCCTCATAAACGTATTTTTGTACACAGCTCCAGCTGATCTACACGTTTTTGCAACCCATTTAGCCTAGTACGATTCATTTTTGTATGTAACTTTTGCTAATGCAATGCATTTTTGTACACAATGCTTGGGTGGAGAACCTCGTCGTAAAATTCAGAGAAGTGTGAATCTTGAAGGATAGCTATGCTTCACTTTGTGTTTTGGTTCAGGAAGTGTGAATTAGGTAGGTAAAGGTAAAGGGACCCCTGACCATTAGGTCCAGTCGTGGCCGACTCTGGGGTTGCGGCGCTCATCTCGCTTTATTGGCCGAGGGAGCCGGCGTACAGGTCATGTGGCCAGCATGACTAAGCCGCTTCTGGCGAACCAGAGCAGCACACGGAAACGCTGTTTACCTTCCCGCCTGAGCGGTACCTATTTATCTACTTGCACTTTGACGTGCTTTCGAACTGCTAGGTTGGCAGGAGCAGGAATCGAGCAACGGGAGCTCACCCCGTTGCGGGGATTCGAACCACCGACCTTCTGATCGGCAAGTCCGAGGCTCTGTGGTTTAACCCACAGCAACACCCGCGTCCTGTGAATTAGGTAGCTTCTTATTAAATGTAAAAAAAACCCACAACAATCTACCCCTCAAATTTCTTCTTCTTGTGGTAATAATAAAAAAGCTTTTCATATTCAGGATCCACATTGAACTCCAGCCATCAACATGGAACCTGCTTTTGAATTCTTAAAGCTTTCACCCTTCATCGTTCTACTTTTCGTTGCCCCAAGTCCAGATATATGAAAGTTTCAGGGTGTTGTAGTTCAATCAAGGTGTGTGTCAGTGAAGGCTCCATTCAAATCCCTGTTCAGCCACAAAGTACACTGGGTGACTCTGGGCCAGTCATATTCTCTCAATATGCCTTGCTTCGCAGGATTGTCCTAAGGATAGAATAGGGCAATCTCAAGGCGAGACACAAATAGGATAGCTGATGAAGATTTGAGTGTGTTGCACTCAACAAATCCATCACCTGCATGGCCCTGATGTAGCGAGAAAGCATGCATTGGTCTAGCAAAGTCTGGAGGGTTGTGCTGTAGGGTAACTGGTTGGACCATAATGATATTCCTGTCTGTTCTTGTCCTTGTGATCGTGTGGTAGATACCAGCATTTACAGATGCACATGGAGAAACAACCCTAAATAGCGACGTGATTATCATCTTTCCTCATATTGTTTTAAAAATAGACTTGCAAGGCAATAATGTGTTGGCCAGGAATCAATGTTTATGTTATGTCCTGAAGCAAAATGACTGAAACCCAATAATAATAATAATAAATCATAATCCTCAAAACTGTATTATTAGAAGCACATTTACAAGCAGGGAATACTGGGGTACGGTATTTCCTGCGAAACGCAGCGGGGCATTTATTGTATATTTCTGATAAGACCAAGGTTGTGTTTTTCTTCTTCTCCTGCATAATAATTGATTAGCGTTGCTTATGTTTTTGCTCTCCAGGAATTGCCGGTTCGCATCTAAAAGCAGACCAGACTTCGCTTCATCATAAAAACGAGGGTTCTGCTTCTTCTGTGATGACCCGTCGAAAACCAGCATCTCTTGATAGTGTTGTGATATCCTCAACCCCAGTATTATCTCTTTTACCGTCGTCAACGGCAGCCGCCTCAGAAGCAGGTAATTATGTTCAAATGAGCTCGGGTGTTTCATTTATTCCTGTTTCATTACATTTATAGCATTTGTAAACATCTGGAGGACTCCATGTTGACAAGATGCAAACAGGACATGGCTCTCTCTCCCCAATTGGGATTCCCAGAAAGTTGCCTTCAGAGGCACTCTGGAATTAGAGCACAGCAGTCACGACTAGTCGTATTCATCATCATCATCATCATCATCATCATCATCATCATCATAATTTATTTATACCCCGCCCATCTGGCTGGGTTTCTCCAGCCACTCTGGGCAGCTTCCAACAGAATATCAAAATACAATAGTCTATTAAAGATTAAAAGCTTCCCTAAAGAGGGCTGCCTTCAGATGTCTTCTAAAAGTCTGGTAGTTGTTGTTCTCTTTGACATCTGGTGGGAGAGCGTTCCACAGGGCGGGTGCCACTACCGAGAAGGCCCTCTGCCTGGTTCCCTGTAACTTGGCTTCTTGCAGTAAGGGAACCGCCAGAAGGCCCTCAGCGCTGGACCTCAGTGTCTGGGCAGAACAATGGGGGTGGAGACGCTTCTTCAGGTATACAGGACCGAGACCGTTTAAGGTTTTAAGGTCAGCACCAACACTTTGAATTGTGCTCGGAAACGTACTGGGGGCCAATGTAGATCTTTCAAGAACAGTGTTTTGTGGTCTCGGTGGCCACTCCCAGTCACCAGTCTAGCTGCGCATTCTGGATTAGTTGTAGTTTCCGAGTCACCTTCAAAGGTAGCCCCACATAGAGCACATTGCAGTAGTCTAAGTGAGAGGTAACCAGAGCATGCACCACTCTGGTGAGACAGTCCGCAGGCAGATAGGGTCTCAGCCTGTGTACCAGATGGAGCTGGTAAACAGCTGTCCCAAAAACAGTACTTCTGTCTTGTCAGGATTCAACCAACGGCTGCAAGTTACAAGAAAGGAGATTCTGACTCAACATGAGGAATAACTTTCTGACAGTAAGAGCTGTTCGACAATGGAACAGGCTCCCTCTGGAGGTTGTGGGCTCTCCTTCCTTTGAGATTTTTAAGCAAAGGTTGGGTGGCCATCTGTCATGGATGCTATAGCTGAGATTCCTGCATTGCAGAAGGTTGGCGTAGATGGTGATTCTGCTCCCAGGTATGCGTGTATAGAATTGCATCCTGGAGAGCTAATACATGGCCAGTGGATCTTCCATAGATTCAAGAAGCGGAAACTTTGCTCATATGTTTCATTCAGATTCAGATAATGGGTGCACTTCGCAGTGTAGCTGGCGTCCAATTATACGGTTGGTCTGTCTGTCACCCAGATGTTGATCATTCATTGAGAACTGCAGCTGCGTTAATGAGATAGGAGATGGTGTTGAGGATATCCTGTAACTGATTGAGAATGCTTTGGGAGGAAATAAAAAATACTCTGTGATTCAAACCAAATGGACGGCTTGAGGCCACCTATTGAACAGAGAGTCTTCTTCTGCAACCTTTCATGCAGACGCATTTCACACGCACACATACACCCCACACATATTGCTGCAGCCTGCAGTGCATCACACAAAGATTCACGCATCTGCACAACCACTTCAGGACTTGCACAGCTCTGGTGAACCTGTACCTTCCCATAGTGCATGTTACCTTGTCCTTAGAACAAAGTGAGATTGTGTTTCATTAAACAACAAAGTACAGTGTTACCTTGGGTTACATATGCTTCAGGTTACACACTCCACTAAGCCAGAAATAGTGCTTCAGGTTAAGAACTTTGCTTCAGGATAAGAATAGAAATGGGGCTCCGGCGGCGCGGTGGCAGCAGGAGGCCCCATTAGCTGAAGTGGTGCTTCAGGTTAAGAACAGTTTCAGGTTAAGAACGGACCTCCGGAACGAATTAAGTACTTAAGTACTCCAAACCGTCTTCAGAGGCATCCCTGCTTATAACGCATTGTACAATCTAACCTAGAGGTTACCAGAGCATAGACAGGACTTCCGGGGTGGCGCCATCGGCAATGGCGGACTCCCTCTGAATTGGAGGGACAAGCTCCGCGTGAAATGGGTCCTTTCCGCTACGGCGAAGCGGGGACCCCTTAAAAAATCACAGGCGGATGAAGCCTGTTACCACGGGACTCGGCGGGCACCCTTAGCGCCCCCCCAACCCGCAAAGGAACCCACTAACGGGCTCCGAAGCGAAGAGGGGGAAGTGGCGCGGTGCTGAGAGTCAACTGCTCTTTCCGTGGAGTGAAGCCGCATAGCCGTTGCCGGAGAGCGCTGCCTTCTTTTTGGGACAAATTGGATTCTAAAAATAACCACCGTGAGTACCTAAACTTTGAAAAATTGGACTACAAATAAGGAACTGGGAAAAGAAAGGAATTGGATTTAAAAATTTACTACAATTTGGTACTGAAACGGGAAGGTCTAAACAGGAAGTCAGCCTTCCGTTTCCTTGTAGACTGAACAAAGCAAAGATAAAGTAAACTAGAGCTTTGAAAATCACTATTAAAGGAGTGGATTTCATCATTTAAAATAGTTGAACCCCCCCCCCTTCGGCAGCAGGAGGAGAAGGGGGAGCTTTCTTTGGACCGTTTTAACCTGCAGAAGTAAGTTTAAAACAAAGTAATTTTCCACCGTCCTGACCTGGGAGCGGGGTGTCAGGACTGACGTTTGAAGCTCATTGACCAGGACAGAAGTCGTTTGACAGATAGTTAAAAGAAGAGAAACATTGTGATTCCACTGTTTCCTTTCGCATTTTAAAATAACAACGATTGACAAAGTATCTAAAAGAAAAAAGGGAAGAAACTTTGGGGTTGGATTTGTAACAGAAGTTACAACAGTAGTTGGGTTGTCCCTGTCCAAATAGAGGCATAGCTGGGCCACCAGACAAAGCCACCAGAGCCTCACATGACAGCAAAGGGAAAGAAACTTCTATGCAATAGCTTAATTCAGTGAATGATGTGATGTCTAATTTGGCCCCACCTCTTCGGGTAAGTTAAGAATGAATGGTGATAAAGTAAAGGAATTGAGATGGAATAGCTTCTTGAATGTAAGAACCTGAGATGCCCTGAGAATGAATCTTTGAATGTTTATTTAATTTAGAATATAGGTATGTAGATATGAAAACCAGTCTTTGAATGACTAAACACCCACATTCTTATATATTTATATGAGAGCAAATGTCTGGTTGTTTTTTCTTTTAGGATTAGCTCCTGCTTCTTGTATTGTGACAAGATGTTGGGCTTGTTTGCACAAGGCCTTTGCCGAGGCCAAATAACATGGTAGCACATTATCCAATTATGTTTAAAAAAACCCAATACAACAGTGTTGGGGGTGCTTGTTGTTGTTTTTAAAATGAAACCTTCCAAATGACAGAAGTGTGGGGGTGTGTTTATATTTCTTCCACTACATAGTTCATAGTTTTCTATTGTGAAGACTCCAACAGCAACTGTATTTTTAACATGGTCAGCATGGTTGCAACCCATTAATATAATAGTAATTCTGGAAATGAGCCTTCATAGAAAATCTGTCTGCCTTCTGAAGACTTCCAGGAGTGCTTGAATTGTAAAATGTACCGTATTTTTCGCACCATAGGACGCACTTTTTCCCCTCCAAAAATGAAGGGGAAATGTGTGTGTGTCCTATGGTGCGAATGCAGGCTTTCGCTGAAGCCTGGAGAGTGAGAGGGGTCGGTGCGCACCAACCCCTCACGCTCTCCAGGCTTCGCACACCTCTCCGCAAGCAGCGGGAGCCCAGCGCTGGGCTCCCGCTGCTTGCGGAGAGTTGCCTGCAGGCCGAAGCCTGCGCGCGCTGAGATCAGCGCGTCCAGGCTTTGCGGACCTCCCCACAAGCAGCGGGAGCGCTCCCGCTGCTTGCGGAGAGTTGCCGGCATGCCGAAGCCTGCACGCACTGAGATCAGTGCGTCCAGGCTTCGCAGACCTCTCCACAAGCAGCGGGAGCCAGCGCTGGGCTCCCACGGCTTGCAGAGAGCTGCCTGTTTGGGGGCTGGGGTCAGGGGAAGCTCGAGCTTCCCCCGCCCCAGCCCCGCGCCTGGGGGGGAAATAATTTTTTTCCCTTTATTCCCCCCCCAAAAAACTGGGTGCGCCCTATGGTCCGGTGCGCCCTATGGTGCGAAAAATACAGTAGCTGAAGGTTGTGGGAACTTCTAAACTGAAGTTAATTTAGAGCAGCGGTTCTCAACCTGTGGGTCCCCAGATGTTGTTGGACTACAACTCCCATCATCCCTGAGCTCTGGCCTTGCTAGCTAGGGATGATGGGAGTTGTAGTCCAACAACATCTGGGGACCCACAGGTTGAGAACGGCTGATTTAGAGGGAATCTAATATAGAGAGAATTGTTTTTTCACAGAATCGGAGAACTGTAAAGTCGGAAGGGACCCTAAAGTTAATCTAGTCCAGGGTTTCCCAAACTTTGGTCTCCAGCTACTTTTGGACTACAATTCCCATCATCCTTGACCACTGCTCTTGCTAGCTAGGGATGATGGGAGTTGTAGCCCAAGTTTGGGAAACTCCAATCTAGTCCAACACCCTGCAATGCTTGAATCACAGCTAAAGAATCTCTGGCCATCCAACCGCTGTTTAAAAACCTCCAGCACTTTATGAGGTAGTGTGTTCCTCTGTTAAACAGCTCTTGCCCTCAGAAAGTTCTTCGTAATGTTTAGGTGAAATCTTCCTTTCCTGTAATTTGAGTCTATTGGTTCAAGTCCTACCACCCCACCCCACCCAGAGCAGAGCAGTACTATTACAGTTGAAATGTATTGACCTTGTCATTGGATGATAGTATTAGATATGCTAAGGACTTCAGCCCTTGTGCTCGCAGGCAGAGAGCATTGAATCTGGGCCACATACAATAAATGCTATCTATCATCTATCTATCTATCATCTATCTATCTATCTATCTATCTATCTATCTATCTATCATCTATCTCCAGAGGGTGGAAAGAAGGGAAACTCCAAAATCGCAACTACAGTGGACGCTCGGGTTGCGAATGTGATCCGTGCGGGAGGCA